GCCCACAGAAATCATAGAATCACAGAATCATTAAGGTGGGAAAAGACCTCTAGGATCATCAGGTCCAATCGTCCACCTAACACTACCGTGTCTGCTAAACCATGGCCTGAAGTGCCATATCTACACATTTTTTGAACACCTCCGGGGATGGTGACTCCACCACTTCCCTGAATGGATGCGGCTTTGACTGGAGAGAGCCTCGTCAGCCACCTGCCCTATTTGGTGGGAAGCAAGCACCTCTGCGGAGCTGGGGGAGACAGATGGAGCAGGTGGCTGGACCAGCACCTCTCCCCCCAGCCAAATTCCTCAGCTGTGGAGAAACATGGGTCACTGTCCAGAATTTCCAACGGGGGACTCAACAGGAGGCAGGAAAATGTCAGAAGAGTTTGGAAACAATATCTCTTGGACTTTTAGAAGCTTCTTTCTTTCTATAAGCTCAGACACTTCCCTAGGTGATGAAGCACAAACTAAAGGGCCAAATACTGTAATTGCAGGTAGCAGTCAAGCTCCGATATTTCTGGTGCTTCGGCGCATCAGCCATTTCGCACCCTGCTACACAGCACAGATGCTCACATGGCTACACATTGTGGGGAAGGGACAAAGTGTGAAGTTTCAGTGGAATGGCTCCCCGTTGGACTGCCCAGAGCAGGAGGCTTTGCAGGGTGGCACAGCCTCCGGACACCACACAGGGCTGCAGCCCCTTCCCGGTGCAGCTGGGTGGCCGATCACCGTGGCAGCCGCGCACGAAGGGCCCCATGTCAGTCTCAACTACAGCGTGATGCTTGTGTGATCTGCATGGTACCCAGTCCTCCCCTCCTGCCCCTAAGCCTGAGGCTGGGGGAACACTCACGGGAGAGATTTGGCTCAGTGTAAAGAGGGGAGGCAGGTTTTTCTTTTTTTCTTGCTTGGAAAGATACAGTATTTTTGCTTTTCAGTGGGCTGGTCATTTTTGCAACACAGGAGAAGATAAATAATGTTCTAAGGACAGATAGGTTGTTCCTAAAGACGTTATAACCCATTGTCCTCTTCTGTCCTTTTACCTTTTCAGTGACAGAAAGCACTTGGTCATCTTTTGCAGCTCTTTTATTGCTGAAGAATTAATGTTGACAGATTTTGTTGCATTTGTTTCTCTGGCTGGTCTTTGACAGAAAATGGATGGTCACCCACCGCAGGGAGCCCTACCAATCCAAACGAGGATCATACCTGCGTCCTGGGGCTCCCTCTCCCAGACACTGAAGCCAGCGCTGATGGGGTCATAGCACAGGTTGTGAAGGAGATGACATTCCTTACAGGTCAAACAAGAGGTGGTGAGGCCTTCAAAGGAGGTGATTTGTCTCCCTGTGACTCAAGGGAAGGGTATGGAGAGTGAACTGAGCGTGCAGGCAGGATCTTACAGGGGAAATGCCCAGTTGCGGGGGTGTTTTTTCCCAGGGCAGCTTGAACTCAGCCAGAACACAGCTTAGCACCTCCTGGCTCCCGCTGAACCATCTTCCAGCCCAGGAAGGCAGCACAGTACCTCCCAGAGTGGCTTCACATGCTTGTTGTACGGTGCTCAGTTGCCTATTTGAAAGGAAAGCAGATTGCTCATCGGAAGCATCCTGGAGGGAGCTCGGCAACGCTGGTAGCAGGGCTGACACCCATCAGGGCAGGGAAGGGGGCTGCCTTTCCCTTCAACAGGGCACCGACACATTAACAAGGTGTTTTTGGGGGCTCTGCCTCGCGACTGCAAATAGGAGACAGGCTTTGAAACACCTCCAAGTGATACCGCTGCGAGATTTATGTAGGCAGAAGGTAGTTACCCAGATTAGACTTTGGCTAAGGCACAGGACTGACACTTCGTGAGGGAGTGTGCCGCAGGACCTTAGATAACCACACACGGCTGCCACTCCTGTGACTTTACTTTTAGCTGAAACACTGATCTCCATCATCGGAGCGGGTCGCCGCACTGGGGAGGGCTGATGAGCCACTGGTCTGCAACTGCAGCCAGCAGCTCCGGCCGAGCCTTCACAAGGGCTGTGCCCATCGCCCTCCCCTTCTGCTAAAGAGTAACTTCAGCAGCTTGTACCCACCTGAAAGATGAATCTTACCTTCCTTTTTTCCTTTTTTTTAGGTTTATTTCTTCTTCCACATTTTTCTCTCTTCTCTTCTCTTCTCTTCTCTTCTCTTCTCTTCTCTTCTCTTCTCTTCTCTTCTCTTCTCTTCTCTTCTCTTCTCTTCTCTTCTCTTCTCTTCTCTTCTCATCTGCCACTTGTCAGCCTTCGACACAGTCCCTCACAACATCCTTCTCTCTAAAATGGAGAAATATGGATTTGATGGGTGGACTGTTCAGTGGATAAGGAATTGGTTGGAAGGTCATAGCCAGAGGGTAGTGGTCAACAGCTCGATGTCCAAATGGACGCCGGTGACAAGTGGTGTCCCTCAGGGGTCCACACTGGGACCGGTGCTGTTTAACAATATTTCATGAATGACTTGGCAATATCGAGTGCACCCTCAGCAAGTTTGCAGATGACACCAAGCTGAGTGGTG